GATACACAGATGGACTGTTAGACAGGTGATCTGGTAGACAAATAGACAGATAAACAGTAAACAGTTAAACAGATAGAGTGATAGATGTGTTGACAGAAAAATAGGTAGATGGGTCAATTGGTGGTCAGGTAAACTGGCAGAACAGTATTTTGGTAGACAGGTAAAAAAGTGGGCAAATAAACTGGCAGATAGTTTGTATTGTTAGACAGATTAGCTGGTAGATAGATGAATATGTAATAGATATGCAGATTCATTCAACATTCAAACAGGTAGATATGTATATAATATATGTAGACAGGTAATCAGGTGAATTGTCTATGGTACATGAACTAAAGATATTATATAAGTACCATTTGCTTTACGCTGGTTACAAACATCAAGAAGTTCATTTTAGAATCTTATTTTCTAACAATAAAGATCATTTCTAAGTTTCTATTTCCTCCATTAAAGAAAAAATCAATAATTGAAGATAAACAAAAGATTAACGGGTCATATTTATGTATTAAGGTGGAGCGATTTGTTTTTATGATGTCATAAATCATGTGAAAAACACATTACTGGTTATATGGATATCTTATAATCGTTTTTTCGGTGTTATCTTTATATCTCTCTGCACGGAATATGGATTATGGAAACAAACGCTCACGTATACGCACGTATAATGTAATATATTGAGTTCATATTATGATAAAATATTAGAGCCGATTCAAACAGTGGGTCGTACTATATATAGTACCTTCCTACTATACGATAAAATGAATTATATGCAGTCTATAACTCAATAAAGGTTGGCCTCTTTATAGTTATATATAATAGGATCCTGCATGAGGCTTGTACTGATTTACTTGAAAATAAGTTTTAAGTGAAAATGACCCTTTTCCGATATCCTGCATGAAGTAAAAAATATATCGTCATCATATAAAAATTCTATTAAATAAAAATAATATATCAAGTGCAGAGAGAGTGTTCATTTTATTGTTTTCTAAAAATGTTGTAGTCAGGAAGCATCATCAGAACAGCTCACAGGCTCTTTGATTAAACTTAATGTAATTGTCATTTTACCTTCATAAACTTTCTGATACGTATAAATAATTATCTCAGTCAATAAGAATTGAGATTTAGGTATTTAGATAAAATGTTCTCTGTTTTATTTTGAAAATAAATTGTTCGCTTTCTAAAAAAACTATTCCTCACTTCCAATTGATGACTTTCAGACAAAATTGTAATATCTGTAATTGTATAAATTAAATTAATTTGTTCATCACAATTTTATCTATTTTAAGTTCTAAAAATGTATTATATTTAAGTCGGACGTCAACTGTAATCAGTAGATACATAGGAACCAACATAGATTCTAATTAGAATCGCTTAAAATGCGATCATAATTTTAGGGCTTTCGTAGGCCTGTAATATTTTAGTAAGTTATTTCATCGAAATTTATTGTCATACAAAGTTCTCATCCGCGATAAATAAGATTCGACAATACTTATATAAGAGTTACAAAGAATTTACTACTTGCAATAGTTGCACTCAAATTATAGTTTAATTTTTGTTTACCAACTGAATAATTTTGAAATATTGGATATAAAATTCTTATTCAAGAATATTTGGTCTTGAAAAAAAAATCAACTATCAAAAAAATTAAATCTTGAGTTGAGATTATAATTTTGAATAATCCAATAATAGGCTGCAGTCATTTAGAATCGAACTCCATTGTTTCAAAAATCAAATTATAATATGTAAGTCATTGCTTGGCAAAGATCTTAGTTCAAAAACTAAGAAACTATAAAAATAGTTTAGATATCAAAATAATGGAAAAATAGTCTATAGAATCTTCTAATTCAAATTTTGAGATTATTTAGAAATAATATATGATAATAATAATATAATTTTGTCACGAGATTTGTTATGATATCATTGTACTGACGGCTTTTGAAGTAAAGTAAATACATTAAAATGAATTAATGTATTTAGAAGTTTGCAAAATATAGATTTGCGAAGCCTCCACTTATCTCCAGTGAAGAATACGTTAATTACATAAGTCGAATTATATTACATTAATTAATTTTTGAAAAATGATCGAGAAATTGATCGATAATCAAATGATAAAAATTCACATCTATTAAATAATTTAAAACTTTGTGGGGCCCCTGGTGCGCGAGACTGTACTGACAATGAGTGCAGTTTCGGAATTCCTTTTTTTTTTTAAAGAATTTACAAAAGTTTTAGGAATTTATTTTCCATTATTCTCTAACATTCTCATTGTATTACGGAAATCAGTTTCCATAGTGCGCAAAATGTTTACTTGACATTTCAATAGCAATTCTGTTTATATTCTCGGAATTTATTCTGGAACAATAATCATATGTGCACACTGCACAGAATAATGTTTTCTGCATGTGGAACATTCATAATTAACATACAGCACAATGCTAGATATAATTTTAATTTAATGTTTCGACATTCATTCCATCGGCATCAGCCGAACAGTCACATCGCCTGTTGTGAGTTAAACCATTACATAATCATATATTTTCGATAGTATGAACATTAAAATTTATATACTTTATCAGTGAAGTGAATTCAATAATTTAGTTTTATAGAATTTAATTTATTTTATATTGCTCCCTTCGCCTGAAGGGAGCAATTATTCCATACCGCCCCTTGTTCAAACTAACAAGTATTTTTTGATGATTCGCAACAAATTCAGAATTTTATTCAAAACTTTAAAAGTTTGCAAAACCAATTTAATATGGATACGTCAAGTTCTCAAATGACTTCACAAATGGAAGTGAGTGAAAAAAACAATGAAATAAATGAACCAAATGAATCAATTAACCCAAACCCGTGGCAGCAGGTTGTCCACGGTATAAAAAGAAAACGTTTTGCAAATAACAATACTAATTTAACCCCTACGTCAAATAGATTTGACACACTTATTAACGAAGATAACAATAATCAGTAAACAAATAGTAACATAATTAAAACACAAGTTACTCCGCCAGTTTTTCTATATGGTGTTGAGATTTTAAATTGATGATTAGTAGTTTAAACACAGTGTTTACTAGTGGACAATATACAACGAAATGCCTGCCGGACCAAATTGTCAAGATTAAAGTGGATAGTGCCGAAAATTACAGAAAATTTATTCATTACTTACAAGAACGCAACACAGTATATCACACATATCAAATAAAGTCAGAAAGATCGTATCGAGTGGTTTTAAAATACATGCATCATAGTACAGATATAAATAAAATTAAAAAAGCGATTGAAAAAGAAGGAATGCATAAAGTGTGTAACATATTAAATGTTTTGCGACCTAAATCAAAACACCCACTTA